TGTCATAAGGTAAGTATTACTTTGAGGCAATTTGTTTCGCTTGTATATTTTCAGAGGTTGTTGAGCCATACCATAGGATAGTGGAAATTGCTCAACTCCAATTCCAGCCTGTCTGGGTTCTAATTCTCCCACTTACTAATTAGGTGCACTTGGACTGGTTACTTAACCTCTCTGGGCCTAAGAGCTAAAGAGGGAAGAAAGGTAGCTCAGGGTTTGAGGGATCAGGAGTGTGGGGGTGGGAAGGCCTCATGGAGAAGGTGGCTTTTGAGCAAAGGCCTGCAGGGGGCAAGGGGGTAAGCCCTGTGTGTATCTGGGGCAAGAGAATCCAAGGAGGGTGAAGGGTTAGTGCAAAGGCCCTGAGGCTGGAGGGTTCAAGGAATTGAGAAGGCCACAGTGGCTGGAGAGGAGTGAGCCAGGCAGATAGGGTGGGAGAACGTCAGACGTGAGAGGGGAGCAGATTGTGTGGGGCCGTGTGGGCCAAAGTGAGGATTTTGGCTTTGACTGTGAGTGAGACAGAGATCACAGGAAGGCTTTGAGCAGAGGAGGGATGTGAGCTGACTTGTGTTTTAATGGGATCACTTTTGTTGGGTTTGAAAATATACTCTTGGGGGTCAAGAGCAGAAGCAGGAAGATCAGGGAGGAGGCTACTGCAGCAGTCTGTTTGAGAGATGGTGGGGATCAGAGAGTAGCTGGCTGGGGAGAGGTGGTCAGATTCAGGGTGCATTTTGAGGGTAGAGCTGACAGGTTTTCCTGATGGGTGTGGGATTTCCATTTTGGACAGGATTAGAGCAAGGGAAGGAAAGGAGTGAGGGAGGGGAGGAGGAAAGGGAGGAAGAAGACAGAATGGACAGATGGAAAGAGAGAAACAGAAAGATGAACCTAAAGGTGATCTCTCAACCTTTTAAATGGGAATACAGTTTAAAAATAAAAAGGCTTTCGTTATTGGGGCTGTTTTTCCCTTCCTTTGTATAAAATTCTCCAGAATGGGCCAGACTCTGGTTAGCATTGGAAATCAGCTTTGACCTATGGTCACAATTCACCAGAACCCCTGGAAGCCAAGTCCGATTTCAGAGACTGAGACAATGGTAAGACGCATGACCACAGTGGGAGTGCAAGGTTCGGGGACTCAGGCCTAGCCTTGCGCACTTCAGGGCACAGTGGGAACTCGGTGGCGCTCTGGGTCTATCTTCAGTGGATGTAATTTTCCTTCCCTGGCTCTAAGTGGTTATAGAACTGCCCCCCACCGTCCAGCCCAAAATGGTGCTGGAGGGAGGAGGTTGTTCTTAAGTATCTGCTTCACTGCCCAGCCATTGTCTGCTCCTCTGCTTTGCATGGAGTGGGCAGAGCAGAAGTCTCCCATTGCCCCTCCAGGCCCACTTTGCCCCTGTCTGCCTGCTCTGAGCCCAGGAGGCTGCCCTGTGTGCTCTCCATCCACCTGGCTTGCATGTCTCTGGGACCATGGGAGGTACCTGCAGGAGATGGGGCAGGTGCTGGAGTATGATCAGCTCTCCTGCATCCAGCCTCCACCTGCCCATACCTGCAGAGCTCCATACACCTCTGCCCTTGGCCCTCTACCTCCAGCTTTCTCATGAGCTGCAGACCAGATGAACCCACAGCACACACCTCAGCCCAGAGTCCTGTGGAGCCAGCGGCTCCCTGGATGCCCAGTGTGTTTGTTTCCTAGAGCTGCCATAACAAGGTACTACAAACTGGGTAGCTCAAAGCAACAGAAATTTATTGTCTCACAGTTCTGGAGGCTGGAAATCTGAAGTCAAGGTGTGGACAGGGCCTCCCTCCTTCTGAAGCCTGTAGAGGAGGACCCTTCCTTGCCTGTTCCAGCTGCTGGTAGCCCTGGGCCTTCCTTGGCTTGTGGCAGCATCACTCCCATCTCTGCCTCTGTCTTCACATGGCTGTTTTCCCTCTGTGTGTCTCTCTCTTATAAAGACACCAGTTGTGTAGGATTAGGGGCCCACCCTACTCCTGTATGACCTCTTCTTAACTAATTACATCTCCAATGACCCTATTTCCAAATAAGGTCACATTCTGAAGCACTGGGGGTGAGGACTTCAATGTCTTTTCTTTTGGGGGACACAATTCAATACATAGCACCCATTGAGCACCTTACCCTCACCATATCCTAACTGATGCCATACCTCCAACTGGGACCTGGATCAGAGACCTGGGCGTCATCCAGATGTTGCCCTTCCCCTGGACATCCAGAGTGCTGCTGGCTCCGTGGGAGTCTGGGCTGAGGGGAGAGTTGAGTCTAAATCTTGTTTGAAGGCCATGAGAAACCTGGAGGTAGGAGCCTCAGCAGGAGTCTGGAGCTCCGAGGGTGCTGGAGGAGAGAGAGGTCAGGGTGTTAGTCCCTTAGCTTTTTTAGTATCCTCAGTGCTCCTGTCAACTACCCTGAAATTTAATTATCTGTTGAATAAATGACAATTAAAAAATGAAAACAAAAATGTGATGACCAGTATGTGTCTGTCTCCAGCCTTCTCTTCTGTGCTCCAGACCCAGGTGTCCAGCGGACACTTGGACACTTCACCTCAGATGTCCCCAGGCATGTGGTATTCCTCACATCCCAGACTGACCTCCCTCTTCTTGGTCTAAAGAATCCACCCTTCCTCCCAATGGAATTCTCCCGAGGGCTGAGGACACCACCCCAGTTGATTTCTGTAATAGCTGCCCACACTTTCTCAGAGACGGGCCCTTTTATTAACCTCTCCTTGTCACCCCTCTGGGATGCCATCTGCTTCCTGCCTGCTGTAGCCATTGGCGGGAATTAGGAAGGGGCACCCCTTCCTCCAGGTGGACAGAGCAGCACTTGGGCCAGATTCTACCTCCCCTAGGGTTGGGTGCCCTTGTGCTGGGCTCAACCTGCCACACTGCACACCACAACTCTGGGCTTGGGGCTGCTTTTTCCCCTACTATTTGGTTTAACTTGGGAGTCTCTGTTTTGGGCAGAGCTAAATTTTGGGGAAAGGACCTTGTGAGCAGAGGTCCTTAAATAGGTCTTTGGTTCTCTATGTAGCTAGTGTATGTGTGAGCAGAATGCACAGGCAGATTTCAGAGTCTAATAACACACGGTCAAGGTCAGGTTCTCAGCAGGGTCTGCAACATCCTGAACTCTCTGTCCACCCCGTCTGCCACTTTGATCTTATCTCTTATTCATCCCACCCCCCCATTATTCTGCAAACACAGCAGAATCTCAGTCCCACCTCAGGGCCTTTGAACTTGCTCTCCCGTCTGTCTGAAATGCCCTTCCCCCAGATATTCTCCTGGTTTTCTCGTTTCACTTGGACTCTGCTCAGATGCCCCCTCTGCATGATGACCCAGCATAAAATATCCTCTTCTCTTGCTCTCCATCCCCGTACCCTGCCTTGTTTTCCTTCATTGAACTTGTCATCCACTTGACATTATATTATATACAAAAGAAACTGATGTTATTTGCAACATTCTGTGCATGCATGCATTTCCCTGGGGCAGGGACCATACTTTTCAAGACCTCTCCAATGGAGTCTGGGAGCCTAAAGTTTAATAACTACCAAATTGTCAGTCCTGCAAGACCCATAGTCTTCTCAAGTGGGCGTGGGACCCCCCAGACAGTGCCTGAGGAAGGACATGTAAAGGGAATCTGAGGTCAAGGCAGAGGCTGGAAGGAACTTGGGAACAAGTCCACAGGCGGGAGGATGTCTGAGGGCAGGTTGGGGAGGGAACCCAGGACTCCTTCCTCCCTCACCTCCTGCTCTCTCTCCCCTCCCTCCCCTTTCCCTGTTGGGGCAAATGCAGCTCCCAGTTCCCTCTGAAGGTGGCGACAAGACAGAAACAGGCACAGCGATTTCAAAGACAACTAGAAATGCTCTTTATTCACCAGAGCTCAACACCCACGGGCCCGCAGACCTGAGGCAAAAACAGAACAACTTAAAATCTGACTTGGGCTCTTCTCTTTGCCCCTAAAATAAAATCTAGGCAGTTGCCATTCCCATCCGGGCACTCAAACTCCTTTCCTGTCTTAACTGTTGGAAGATGAAAAACACAGGGGAATAAAATGACCTTTAGCTAACTATGACGGAGAAACACACCTCTAGCTGGGGGAAGGGACCGTCAGTGGTTTGGGGTTGGGGTTAAAAGCCAAGTGAAATGGGATGAACTATGGGAAGAACAACCAGAGGGATTTGAAGGGTGTCAGCTCACCCCAAGGCTCTGCATCCCCAGGTACACCTGCGAAGACACGCACCCCTCCAGTCTGTCCCCCTCCACTACCCCAGCTCCTGATGGGGGGGCCAAGGGCAGGGAAGGAATGAACCAGTGTGGTCCATGATGAAACTGTGTAATGGGATGAACTATGGGAAGAACAACCAGAGGGATTTGAAGGGTGTCAGCTCACCCCAAGGTTCTGCATCCCCAGATACACCTGCGAAGACACGCATCCCTCCAGTCTGTCCCCCTCCACTACCCCAGCTCCTGATGGGGGGGCCAAGGGCAGGGAAGGAATGAACCAGTGTGGTCCATGATGAAACTGTGTGTCTGCAAGTGGCTGAAGGTGGCAAAGGCTGCTCTCAAGTCAGTATCCCATCTTGAAGTTCTTGGGTGGGAGGGTTCAAGCCAGCCTTGTTCACAATCTCCAAATGCTGAGCGCTGGCCTGGGAGATCACAGTGGAGTCCAGTATGTCCAAGGAACCAAGAATTCCACAAGGAATGGAGCTTTGGGGCTGAGAAGTCAAAGGGCAGGAGTAGTGTCACCAGCAGGCCTCAGAAGGCCTAATGATCCATGGACTGTGGCCCAGAGGGAGCCCTAGGGCTATGCAGTCCAAGAGGCCGGGATCCTGCTACCCTCAGAATCTACAAACACCCACCATGGGACAGAACTCTAAGGGCTGAGAGGGCCAAGGGGCAGGGCTGGTCAGGCTTGCCAGCAGCCGTCATCGTTTCAAGATTCAGCAGGGATGGTATTCTGGGGCCAAGAAGTTCCAAAGGGCTGGGTAAGTGGGGGAGAGGGGTTAGGGACTTGGTAGGAACAGAACCAGTAGGGTTAGGGGTGTGGGTGGTGGACAGTTTCTCACAGTTCTCAGCGCTTAACCTTGCGTCCAGCTGAGTTGCGCCCACTGCGGCGGTAGAGAGACTGCTGGCCACCATTGAGCGGGCAGTACTTGAGTGTGTGGGCCTGGCCACCAGTGGCCCCGCACACAGGACACACATAGTGCCTCAGGATGGGACATACTACCACGCCCTCTGGTGTCTTCAGTTGGTGTGAGGAATAGACGTTGCGGGACTCTCCGTTGTGCTTGCAGAAGTTGCACAGAGTGGCTAGGCCCCCGCTGGCCCCTGCCTCCCTCAGCTGCTGATCCTTCCCCAACTGGGTCCCGGCTCTTGGCTTGTCAATCTCTTGGGGCTCCGGGCTTTGCCCCCGTTTCTGGATCAGCTCCAACACTACTTGGCTCAGGTTGAAGTAGTCCTTCCACATGTCAAAGGGTGGCAGCTGCATGGCACCGAGGCAGCAGTGGTGGGTGGCTGAGACGGTCCAACCTAGGGGCCAGCAGGCAGGAGTAGCAGGAGCTTTCTGGAGCAGAAAAGAGCTGCACCCCCTTATATACTCCTCAGAGACTCTTCTAAGCAAAGGTGGAGCTAAGGATTTAAAGGGCCCACTCCCTGCGCATGACTCCCATCTGGCTCTAGTCCCACACAGACATCTGGAAGGTCATTCTCCTGGTCTCTGTTCCCTGCTCTGCCTCCAAGGTGCTTTGTATCTTTTGGAAGGATCTTTCCACATCCTGGGCCTCAGTTTCCCTATCTGTTCATGAAGGTCCATGTCTGCAAATATCCCCCACCTCCCTTCCTCCTAGGCTAGAGGGCCTGCTCCTTCCATATACTCTAGAGCCATTCCTGATGGTAATAACAGCTTCTTACTATGAGCCAAACACTGTGCTGCATAGTTACCTGCATGATCTGATTTAATCCTCACAGCTCCATGAGAGAAACACAGTTATGATCCCATTTTATAGATGTGTTACTGAGGCTCAGAGAAGGGAATTCACTGGCCCAGAGTCACATAGCATGTAAGTAGCAGAACTGAGTCTGTGGGGTTCCAAAGTAAGTGTTCCTTCTACCTCTTTTGGATCAAAACCTTCTCTTTCATCATGTCCTAAACTAGGAGCCACTTATTCAATGAATATTTATTGGGTGCATATGGCAGTGTTCAGTGTTTTATAAACATGATCTCTTTGAGCCTCATAATCACTGAAGGAGGTGGGTACATTTTACAGAAGAAGATTTGAAGCTCAGAGAGGTTAAGGAATGTACTCAAGGTCACTCAGCAGGGAAATGGCCAAGTTGAGTTTCCTAACCGCCCTGGGAATTGGGAATTGATGTTAGAAGCGGCAGAGGAGCTTCGCATGGGACAGTCTCACTTAGAATGCCCTCCCTAGGCCCCATCCATTGTCCCAAATCCTTCCTGGCCTTTGGGACCAAGCAAAATTCTTGCCTCCACCTGCCCCATCTCCAGGGATTCTTCCTCCACTAACAGTCTCTATTGGTTGCCTTGATATTCAGCACATATTCATTGAGGCCCCATGTTGGGTGCTGGAATCTCAGCAGTGACCGAAGTACCTGCTTCATGAGCAACAAGTCCAGCCGGGGAGCAGCCAGCAAATGAGAAAACACTAGACTGCAAAGACCTGATTGCATATAGACAGGGTGTTCTGGGACCAGGCTGGGCTGGGAGACGTGACCTGGAAGCTGAGACCATAAAGTAGAATTGTTCAGAAAGAGGAACATAAAATATAGAGACATCCAGCCGGGGAGCAGCCAGCAAATGAGAAAACACTAGACTGCAAAGACCTGATTGCATATAAACAGGGTGTTCTGGGACCAGGCTGGGCTGGGAGACGTGACCTGGAAGCTGAGACCATAAAATAGAATTGTTCAGAAAGAGGAACATAAAATATAGAGACCCTGAAATTTGGGAGCAGCAAGGAGGCTAGAGTGGGCAGAACAGAGTGAGAGTCCCCAGATGAGGTTTTCCCCGTTTACAGGGGCTGGTTATCATCAGATTGTGGATCTCCCTTAGGGGATGTTTTGGAATTGATGGGAGCATTTTGAGTTTGTCACAGTGATTGGAGGTGTGTCTGGATTTAATGGACAGGGACCAAGGATGACAGCTATCTCAAAGTCCACTCAGCCACGACCTGTCCTGGGTCCCACTTAACTTTCTAGTGTCCTACTGGATACCCATGTAGGCAAACCTCCCCCCCCCAAAAAAAACCCCACTTGTAATGATCCCAGTCCAAAACTTAGTTATGTTTTACATATAAACACAAAGTGCTTTTTGCAGTATTTTGAGATAAACTGACTTTTCTTGGAATGCAAGCACTGTGTTCATTGTAGTCTACCTGTTCTTGGTTTTTGGGGAAATTTATCCAGTTATCCACCATCTAGGAGCCATATCACTGAAGGCAAGGCTGATGGTGGTATCTGTCTCCAAACAACACACCATTTGTTCTATCTCATTCGTGGTGAATCAACACGCAGAGGCTAGTGTCTGCCTGATGAGATGACTTTTGGAGTGGCCCTGTGCCAATGGCGCCTTTCTAAAATAGATATTATTTTATTATAAATGGTTGTCTTTTTATTTCTCCTTTATATTTTAGTTAGGACACGATCTTGATTTTTGAAAATAAGATTTGTACATTGGTGGGCTATATTTTACCTATGAGTATAATTTCAAGATACTAAAGGGGCATTTCAAAATATTATGTAAAGTGGATGTTGGGTCTTATGGGGTTAAAAATCAGTGGTGCAGGCCAAGTCAAACTGTTGCTATTCCCCTTCAGAGCAGTAGGGAGCCACTGAGGGACTTAAGTAGGAAAGAGACATAATGAGAAGTGTGGCAGGCCAAGTCAAACTGTTGCTATTCCCCTTCAGAGCAGTAGGGAGCCACTGAGGGACTTAGTAGGAAAGGGACATAATGAGAAGTGTGTTGGGCCAGCCCGGTGGTGCACTGCTATAGTGCGCCGCTTGGGAAGTGTGGTGGCGCTCCCGCCAGGGTTCGGATCCCACATACAGACCAGTTCCCGCTCACTGGCTGAGCGAGGGGCGGGCGCGGCACCGAGGGTTGCAATTCCGTTGCCGGTCCCGGTCCGGTACGGGCGCGACACTGAGGGTTGGGATCCGTTGCCGGTCACGAAAAAAGACAAAAAGGAAAAAAAAAATAATGAGAAGTGTGATTTAGGAAGATCATCCTGCTGCTGTTCAGCACTGAGGGTTGCGATCCGTTGCTGGACACGAAAAAAGACAAAAAGGAAAAAAAAAATAATGAGAAGTGTGATTTAGGAAGATCGTCCTGCTGCTGTTGGTTGAATGGGGCAGCAGGTCTGTCTCTGCCTTCTCACGTTGTCTTGGTTTGGTCAGGGAGCAAAGTCTGAACAAAGTCAGTTGAGAACTCCCTGCCGCGGAGACCATATCTTGCTTCCAGAAAGGGCTCAATAAGTGTTTATTGGGTGAACTTATTGTCTCTGTGGATGGCTCATTTTTGCGAGGTGACAAAGGGGGGAATCTGTGAATGTCATAGGAAAGGTCTTGTGATGTGATTTCCCAGGTTTTCCTTTTTTTTTTGGTGGGCGTCCAGTATGGGGATCCGAACCCTTTGACCTTGGTGTTATAACACCATGCTGTACTCAACTGAGCCAACTGGCCAGCCATCCTTGTTTTTAAAAGCAAGGTTTTTGTTGTTTATGGCGGCTGGCTGGTACAGGGATGTAATTTTCTTTTGAAGTAATGATTTGGATGATGACTTTGATGTCTGTTTTCCCTGGTAATCTGTGAATCTTGGGAATTCAGGGCCAGGGCTGTCTTGGTCACTGAGGGGCTCTAGCATTGCTCAGCATGGGGTGGGCATAGAGCAGAGCAGGAGGTGTCAGCATAATGAATGAATGGGTGGAGGTAACCTGACTCCCCAGACAATGTTAAATATCCTTTCTCTAAATGCCCATAGACAAATAAAATGTCTTTCACACGGGGGATTCTTACGTCTTGAGTGCTTATGATGTCTTTCAGTGCTCAACTCTAACAGCTCCTCCTCCAGGAAGGCCTCCCTGACTCCCAGGTTGGGTCAGCTGGTATCTCTGGGTGACCTCATCACAGCCCTGCCCACTTTGAGTCATCACTGACTGGTGAGTCTTCCTTTGGACTGTGAGCCCTTGAAGATAGAGCCGGGGCTGTTCCCACAAGGCCCTTTATGTACCTCATGTCATTTAACAAGCATCGCTTCCTTGAGTTAAGCATTGTTATTGCTCCTAACTTGCAAAGGTGGCAATTGATGCTCAGAGAGGTTAGGTGACTTGTCCATGGTCACACAGCCAGCAGACACCAAAGTTGGGATTCCAACCCAGGTCTTCCTGAGTCCAAAGTCTTTGTCCCTTAACCATTGCCTTATACTGCCTCAATAAATACTTGTCAGCTGAATGAATGAGTGAATGAATAAATGAATTAATCTCAGAGCTACAAAGGGTCTTCCAGATCATCTGGTTCAGCTCACCCCACTTTCTTATTTTACACATGTGGAAACTAAGGTCCCAAGATGGGAAGGTTCTGTAGCTCTTAAAGCCACAGTTCCTAGCCCAAGGTCCTGGGATTCATGCATGCACCTTTCTGGAAACCTGATAAATATAAGCACACCATGGTGGTATGATGGGCTGTGAGGCTTTCTGCCAGTTCATCTGTCTGATGAGCTGAGTCAGATCCCCTGCTTTATAACGTTGGGGTCATTGGGTTGGGCAGTGGGGTGACTTGAGCACAAAAACCCCCACAGTTTGGGGAGGGAGCAGCATCGTAGGTAAGTGCTCAGTAAACAGCCCTAAGTTCAAACCAAGCTCTACCACCTGCTTGCCAAGTGGCTGTGGGCTGGTTATATAACCTCTCCTGGCCTCAATTTCCTTATCTGTCAATCAAGGATGATATCAGCACCCATCCCAGAGCCTGGGCTGCAATTGTGATTGTGAAGCCCTTAGCACAAAGCCTGACCCATGGGACATGCTCATTAAACGTCAGCTGTGATGATTAAGACACAGTTAAGGCAATAATCATAAGGGGATTCATTTATTGAGCCAACAGCATGCTCAGGGCTCTACCTGTGTCATCTCTTTGAATCTCCCCCAGACCCTGTGAAATAGGGTCTGTTAATAGTCCCATTTTACAGATGAGCATAGGGAGGCTCAGAGAGACAGCGGGGCTTGTCCAGAGTCATATGGAGAGTGAGTGGAAGGCTAGATCTCAAACCCAGGGCTGTCTGACCCAGACCCAGGACATCCACCTGCTCCCAGTGAGGAGGCACACAAGCCTGCTGTGAGCCAAGAGCCTGCGTAAGTGGTCAACACCAAGCAGCAGAGCTTGGGGGGACTTGCCGGGTGTAGGGACAGACTGAGGTGGGAAACCAGTAAAGATAGGGGTATCTGAGTCACACAGCTTTTCACAGAGGGAACAGATGAGATCTGTTGGCCACTGATGGACATACTTGAAGACAGAAGAAACTGTGGTCTGCCGTATGGAAGAACAGGCCTTTGGATGGAGGAGCCATGACGGACATGGGGCCTCTGTGCTAAGTGTTTCCTACAGAATCACAGCTATGAACTTCACCTTGGGAGATGTGAGTCCCCTTGTGTGTCAGGGCCTGAACCCAATGACCGAGTGGCGGTCACTGCAGCAGTGACATCCATTGGGCATCCGAGAATGATGTAAGAAGAGGCAAGGTTTTCAAGATTCCATGACTCTCAAAATAATCACACCCATTGTTTGGAGAATCCCAGATTCTGTTGCCTGCAAGTCTGATTTATTTTTTCTTTATCATTTATTTATTCCCACCTTGTCCCCGGCAATTATTTTCTTCCTGGACTCTGTTATTCAGGCCATGGCTTCCCTTCCTCCCCTCCTAGTGTTTTATTGGATGAGTCAGTTGAAGGACATCCCTCTACAGACAAGACATTTTTCTGTGGTGTGGCTGCTGCTGTGTGTGAAGGGAAAGGTGAAGATGATACTGATCAGAAATTTATCAGTCACGGTGTTTACTCCATCATAACCTCCACCCCCTCTCCAAGGACAGGAGACCACTCTGCAGACCAGACTCCAAGGCTCCCTGTTTACTTGTGAGTTTCCTTCTCAGCCTGAAGCCTAGCAGAAAACCTCTCATGGGGGCGGGATTCAGAGAGGGGCCAGTTAGAAACGCTGACAAAAGGTAAGAAACTCAGAGAAAGAGGAGAAGAGATTCATAGACAGGCAGCAAGGACTCCCAGAGAGTCCAAGGGATTCCTGCAGAGACCAGGGGAAAGACAGACCCCCCATCCCGAGCCAGTGAGGTCATGGCCATTGTCATTGTCCTGGTGGTGTCTGGGGGGCGGGATTCAGAGAGGGGCCAGTTAGAAACGCTGACAAAAGGTAAGAAACTCAGAGAAGGAGGAGAAGAGATTCATAGACAGGCAGCAAGGACTCCCAGAGAGTCCAAGGGATTCCTGCAGAGACCAGGGGAAAGACAGACCCCCCCATCCCGAGCCAGTGAGGTCATGGCCATTGTCATTGTCCTGGTGGTGTCTAGTGTCTGTTTATGGTGTGCTCGCCTACTCGATCTAATAAATCCTCACAACATACCTGTCAAGTATCTTGTAACATAACATTTCCCCAAGAGCAGGAAATTGAAGCTCTAAGAGGTGACATCTCTCTTCAAAGTCATTCAGTTAGCCTGGACTCAAACCCAGGTCTGCAGAGAGAAGGTCAGGTTCCCACTCACAGTATCTAAGGAGACAGAGCCTACAGGAGAGAGAGAAGACAAGAATAAGGTGATACGTGGTGTGGTGTTTGGGAGGAGGGCCGCTGCAGCCGGAGAGCTCGGTTCAAATCCTCGCTCTGCCACTTGCAACTGTATGACTTTGAGCAAGTGATGTCACCTATCTAGGCCTCTGTTTCCCCCATTTCACAAAAAGGGAGATTATCGTAAATTCCCTATTATGGGACTGTTTTGAGGATGACAGATGACAATATAGGTGAGTCATTAGAATAGGTACATAGTGAGCATTAGCCACTATTTTAAATTTTATTCTTTCACTAAAGATTTTACTGAAGAGTGCTAGGCAGAGAGATGGAGCACAGAGAGATGGAAAAATGTTTACTCATTCGTTCAACAGATATTTACTGAATATCTAATGTGTGTCTGAATATCGAATTCATTCAACAAATATTTACTGAATCTCTAATGTGCACTGTTGTAGGTTTTAAAGACACAGCAATGGGGCGGAGCCCGTGGCGCACTCGGGAGAGTGCCGTGCTGGGAGCGCAGCAGCACTCCCACCGCGGGTTCGGATCCTATATAGAGATGACCGGTGCGCTCACAGCACTCACTGGCTGAGCGCGGTGTGGCCGGTCTCAAAAAGGACAAAAAAAAAAAAAAAAAAAAA